ATACTTATGCCGGATTCCGAGTGTGTGCGGAGTAGATGGAATCCGAGGAGAGAGGTGGTTGTGCTACGCACATGGGGAGTACCTACCTACGCATGGTGCGCGTAGAGACGATTTGACGGACTCTGTCGTGCGACTTGTCGTACGGCCGACTCGTCGTACGGACTTGATTGTGATTGCTGCGTGCTTACTGTGATTTATGTGTTCAATTCCCGTTTATTAGAATATTAGTACATACACACATATATCTATATGTTTGTGCTTTCCCTGGCACCATGAGAATAGAACTCCGGGTTACGCCCGAGTTCACTCTCTAAGCAATTAGCTTAGGACGTTGTTACGCAACGTTTCAGGTCGTGAGCAGCAGTAGCTGAGGAGCGGACATCGAAGACTGGTGTGACCTGCCGTGTGATCATGTATAATTATTGTCTACGGTACATTTACGTTTTCGGGGAACGGTTTGTGTTATATCGGTGGTAGACTTTTATGGTTTGTAATAATGTGATACTACCACTGTGTATGTATAATTATAACTCGAATAATGTATCGTATATGTATGTAAGAAAGTTTCTTCCGCTGAACTCTAAAAATAAAAGTTTTAAATTCCCGCGGATTTTTTGGAAATGCGATTTTTATTTTAATTGTCCATGTGGCGCAACTCGTATTGCGGGATACGGGTTTCGGGTGTCACAATGGATCAGCATTTTGAATTAAACTTTGGATAAAATTTAATAATAACGTTTTGAAAAATAAAATATGGGAGGTTATATATATATATATATATATATATATATATATTAAAACAGAATAACTAATTGTATATCGATCTATGATATTTTGGACCAAATAGATACATCTAGTTATAATTCAGATGATATATATATATATATATATCAAAAATAAAATTTTAAATAATTCTATATACAATATCTGTTCTCAGTGTATTAAATTTAAAAGTTAAATTTTATTATATATATCTATCTCTATAATATTTTGATATTTTAACAAAAAAAATATTTTGATAAATATGACAAATATGAAGAAAACAATTTTTATTATTGATATTCATTAAACCAATATATACATATCACCAAAAAACCACCCGAACTTCGACGAAATTGTGTACTTTGATAGAATCTAAGAATCTAATGTAATAATATAAATTTGTATTCAAATATATAAAGAAACTTATTTAATAAAAAGATATTACAAATAATTGATAACAGGCCAATTGAGACTGTTAATTTATAGATATTTTTCTTAAATTTCATACAAAGTTAGAAAAAATGAAGAAGTTAGATGAGGGCCTTTCAATCTTTGTATGATTTATGCGATTAATTAAAAGAAAAAGTAAAGGAATTCGAACTTAATAATATAGACAATTATACTAAAATTGAATTTGTTATAAAAACTGAACAGATAATTTTTTTTTTTAAAATGAAAAATTGGAATTTGGAACGAATGTAAACATAACAGAAAATCAAATAAAACCAAAGTTTGACTTTATTTGTAAAGTCGAATTCTTGGTAAACGAAGCCCAACGATCTATGAACCAACCAAAAAATAGGTCTGACTTTTTCGAAATGTAATTGATAATATTAATGATCCTTTACGAATACAATTTTTGGTTGAAAAATCGAAGAAACAAAAAATGAATAAAAATTTAAGCAAATAACATAAAAATCGAATAAATAGTTTTTTAAGGTAAAAAATCCAAAATAATGATAAGAAAACCATTTTTTTTTATGTATAGTTGCACAAAACATGATTTCATTCAGATTCCATTCCTTCGATAATTCATATGATATTTCTTTAGATCTCCCCAAAAAAATATAATCGGATTAAAGATTCCGTGAACTTTTTTATTATAAAAAAAAATTGTAACTTTTTATGGGCCCATGCGCACGAAAGTTAGATGCAAAAAGAACGCGTTTTTTATTCGTCTAAATTTAAAAAAAAAACTAACAAGAAAATGACAGATGCAACGATTTTCTTAGTTGGATGAGATACGACAATTCCAACTTGTCTAAAAGTAAAGGCATATTTAGTAAGGAGCTGTAAAGTCTGATACCTACACGAATTTAATATATATCCATCTCTATACATGAATTCGAGATGATGCAAGGTGGTTACTGTTTATGAGGAAAAAAACCTAACCCTTTATGCATATATATATAATAATAAACTGAAAAAACGTAAATTTTATTAGTAAAAATATATACTTTTTTTCTAATTAGAACTGAAAGCAAATAAAATAAAAGTTCATATAGAAAATTGAATAAAAACTATTTTACTTATAAAAAAATCTAAATCAAAAAAAAAAAATCAAACGGAAAATGAACAAATATCTGAAATATCGATCCTCCTCAGTTCAAAGTATTTGGTTTGGCAATATTAATTAAGTTTATTTAGGCTGTAATTTGTAACCACAAGTAGGGATGAACGTTTTGGTTCGATTTTTCGAAACCGAACCGTACCAAACCGAAAATTTCGATATTTTTTTTGAACCGTATCATTTAAAATTTTTGAATAGTATATTTTTTATAATACCGAATTTTCCGGAACCGAACCGAACTTTACAAAATTCCATAAAAACCCAATTTTATAAAGCAAATCTAAGTTTATTTTAATAAAAACCGAAACCAAACCGTTCCCAAACCAGAACCGAATCGAATAATATACAATACTAATTTGATACAAATTTTAGAATACCAAATAAAACATTATCGAACCGAACCGCTAAAATTTTAAACTGAATCTCGAGATGTCCACTCTAACAACAAGCGCACATAAATTCCATTTGTCCTTTTCAGAAAATTGGACAGAAATATTTTCCCGTTGAAAACAAGAAAACATAAATTACAAAAAAAAAAACTTTAGCTGTTACAAGCAAATAATTTTCTGTCCAATCTCTTGCAAACTCATTATTTAAAGGAAAGAAAATACTAATTTTATTTTTTATTTCTTCTGTTCCCACATTTTTTATTTTGTTTTGGGGGGTTTTGGGTTGGGATCAAAGTCTTTCTTTGACAAGTGTTTTAGTTAGGTCTTTGCTGTTCCATACCATTACCATTGTCTCCTTATGCATTGGAGCTCCAATGCCAAAAGCACATCTCTTAGATTTGCATCTTGCAATCTTCACAATCCTCAGGTAACAACCATTCTTTTCCTGCCAAATTCATATCAAACACCAATTCGATCCGATAAAATGTTCAAATTCTCGAGCGTTTTTATAGAAAAAAACAAAGAAATCCCGTATCTAGAATCCGAGTTATTACTCAACACTACTCATGCTGTTTCATAACACAGATTCTAACTGAAAAAGGTGAATGAAAGTAATATCAATCCTACAAATCATATCAACAACCGATTTGGTTTGATACAAATGTTCGAGCCTTTTTAGAGAGAATTTAGAGAGAGAGAGAAAAAACCCGAATCTAGAATCTGAGTTATCACTCAAAATACTCATTGTTTCATGCACAGATTCTAACTGAACATGGTGAATGAAGTACTACCGATCCTACAAATCATAGCAACAACAGATTCGATTTGATGCAATGAAATTCTCGAGTTTTATTAGAAAATACTGAATCTAGAACCCGATTTCTGTTGTGAGCAAACACTCTATAACTTACACTACTCATTTGTATTTCATGTAAATTCTACTCCTATGTTAGTTCTAAAACAAAATGATAAATTACACGGTGATTTCTAACATCATTTACCTCTGGAACATCGAAGTCACTGTCTCTTGCATCACACATGTCTAGTGATATTATCCGAAGCATCGGCAACTAGTAATTGCAGAGAGTTAAAGCAAAACCAACATTTAGAACGCTCATGTGTGCAACTATAATGTAAGAAAACAAGTATCCAAATTGCCCGACTCACCTTAGAAGCAGCATTGAGAATGAAATTTCGTTCTATCCCGGATCCCTAAATGATTCAAGATTAAGAATCAAAGTCAGAAATAAAAGCCCAAAATTCTACTACTCGGGATATGCCAGTAATTTTACGATGAATGATACATCAAAGATTTACATGATGTTCTATGAAGGCAAAGGAGATTAGCCTATGTAAAAAACAGATACCATATCTAAAGTGTAGGTATATAAGAGAGAACTCACATTGTGACGAAGCAAAAGGTCTTCAAGAGCGACGCAGTCAAAGAAGGAAGAGACTCCTTTCTCTGTTATTCCTCCACAGTCCTATCCCTCGAAAAATTATGCAAGAATTAGACAGACAGAGCAAAGACTTTACAAGGGTAACAGTGAAGCTCTGAGAACGTTAGCTCAAGCGAAAATGTTCCGAGGCTTGGCATGAATTATGACGGCTTTGCATTGCAGTGTTTATATTTTGTTATTAAAAACATGCATCACATTATAATTATGATACAAGGATGTTGATGTGAATGCGATAAGATGTTTTGGTCTCCCCTATGATTGCATGAAATCTGCATATTATGAAGATGCAACATATTTTGATCTCAGCAGAAGATCACTTCTTTCCGGCACACACAGAGAGAGGATACTTTCCACTAAAAACTCGTTTCCAAGCTAAATAATCATAACAAACCTCTAGATGAAGAGAAATCATTCCAGGCCATCCAGTTGAGATGATAGTTTGACAACCTGTAAAGCGAAAACAAAAGAAGAAAAAGAGATGAGTCAGATCACAGAGATATAAAGAAAAAGCACGGGGTTGAGACACTGGATACGTTCTTGCCCCGGTAACCAAAAACTTTTTACCTGAATTCAAAAGTACACATCCAACCAATGAAAGCTCGATTAAGTTTGGACAGCTTTGGGTGAGAACAAATAAATCATCACTGGTCATCCAGCGAGTTACCCTTTCAAGCCTCAGTTTTCTCAGGTTTGGGATAGGGAACTTGAACCCTAACATGGATATGTCACCGAAACAATAACACAAAGCTAACTCTTGTAAGTGCTTCAACGACGTCATGATATTGGTCAGGGCAGAATCAGATATGTCCTGCCAGAACAGGAAAAAAAAAAGAAAGAAAAAGAAAGCAAGGAAGATGAATAAGAAAGCATCGGAAGGTTAAACCTTATAAGTCAACTAGCAAAATGAATGGAAATTGCAAACATATTTGAAATCCTGATGAGAAGCAATACCTGAAAATAAAAGATGACAGACTCTAGCAAAGGGCAAGCTGAAGGTAGCAGCTTCAAAGAATGTTCACCTAATGAACCACCCAAACCCAAACTTATACTCCGGAGAAATGTAATCGCAGGTCTCATAGACTCAAACGAGGAATAAGAAAAACCCCAACCCATCTCAAGTTCCTCCAAACCACATCTCTTGTCTAACCCATTAACCAGCTCTTGACCAAACCATGAGAAAAAGAAATCAGCACTATTCCTGTCACTGTCTACTTGAAGCAGAGTTTTACATCCCCTTGCCTTCAAGCATTTTAAACCATAATTTTTACTAATGACATGTGCAAGAGCCGGCCTAGATACCTGCAAGTTTATAAGAAAAGAGTAAAAACAGATTAGGCAGGCAAAAGAATTCTGTATTTATGAATTACAGTGTCATGGGACATAGTGACAAGTGTCTCGTCTTGAAGAAGTAAAGAATGTAATCCTAAAGAGGAAATGCATCGTATTTGTACTTCCAGAGGCAAAATTCTAGATTTTACAAATGGGAAGACTGACCATGGTATTTGAAATATCGAGCATCTCTAAGGAACAGCCAGAAAATTTGCAGAGCACAGTGTCTGTAACCTCTGTATCCTTCAAGCAGAGACTCTTCAGCTTGTGTGTCTGAGATATCAAGTTCGTCAGCAAGGCTTCATTAACTCCTGCCAATGTTAACAAATGTGTTCCATTAGAAGAATCCAACAATTGTGTCATCAAAGAAAGACTACAATGAAAAAGACACTCACCCTTGCATCCACTCATATGCAGCATCCGAAGATTAGTTGCTATGGAATTCATAGGCTCTTTCAATGTAGAAATACTAGTGCAGAGAGCCCGAACGGAATTCCCCGCAAAAGAAGTATAACAAACTATGATAGATTGTAATCTTGTACATCTCTGTATAATATCTGCTATACAAGCATCTGAGACTAGCACACAACCTTTAATGTTCAGGTACTGTAATGAATCACATAACCTCGAGATGCTCTGGAGTTCCGTATCTGGATAAATGCAAATATGAGATATCAGGCGTAAATACATCCAATCTTTTCAACTCCAGTTATTCTTGAGTTTTTTCTTAATGATTACCAAAAGAAACACAAACTTATCAGATCAGAGTATTAAATCACCACTGCAGAAGAGAACAATTACAAGAAAGGAAAAAAGGAATAAAAGAACAAACAAAAAGGACTAACCACAGATATCACTTCGACCCTCCAACGTTAGTCTTGTAATGTACGAAACTGAACAATTATCTTGCCCAGAATTTATGGAATTAATGCCACCAATCATGTAGAGGTTGGATGCAGTTTGAATTGAAGCTGGACTTGAGTAAACCACTGATGCTTGACCCAGTATTACAGGAGTAATATCAACAGTTAAATCGACTTCTCTTAATTGAGGAAATTTCTGGAGAACTTTGCACAGAGTGGTCATCTTGAAGTTTAAAAGATAAGCAGCTCTCAGTTTTGTTAATGATGGGAATGACTTAGACAAGCACTCGATCACAGATTTAACATCAAGACTCGGACACTTGGAAATATCGACCTCTTGGACTCTTTCGAAAGACAAAATCGGTAAAGACCTCTGATATGATTGGAATCGGTTTCTTTCTCCATCTTCAAGGTTCATCAGGAAAGTCTTCAAACTCTTCTTCCAAACGGTGTTTATGTAATATGAGTTAGGGAGCACAGACAGTACCATGATGGCTGCATTCATGTGTGGACATCCTGAAAGGTCCAATCTCTGATTAAGGGAACAATGACTTGATTAGATAGGACAAAATGTGGTTGTAATGGAATCAGCAGATTTGCATCTAAAAATTTAATACGGATCTTTAAATCAACTATTGAATTGAAATTAGTAGCATGGTGAGAATATTTTTCCCGGGGAAACTTATGACAAGTTACTAAATGCAAGAGAAACATGCATTCTTACTAGACAAAAGCAACAACAACAACAACAGCACCTAAGTCCCAAGTTTATTTGGGGCCGGCCTTTACTAGAGAAAAACAATTAATAAAAATCTGCAACTAAGTTGACTTCAAAGGAAACCTAAGTAAGTTTCGTCATATAGAATCTAGCCCAAGTGCAAAATAAAATGTCTGAAACATACTGGTAAGCTCAATCCAGGAGGGAACAACATATGACAAATATATTATACCTCTGAGTATTCTGACAGACGAACTCTGAGATCAGCCGGACAACTGTCTCCTAGCATATCTACCAATCTTATGGATGACATTTTCATCAATCTAATGACCAAGTCAATGCTTTGGTCAGCATACTTCGAGAAAATGTGAGACTTTCTTTTCCCTGAAATGCAATAACATACTTGACTAAAAGACATCCTCCAGAAGCAAAATTTCCAAGTAAGATTTATAGCATAGACACCTATAATCTCACATTACCTGCAGTAAACCACAATGGCAAAAGACTATAATGGACCTGACAGAAAAAATTTTACAGTGAGAATCGTAATCAACAAAAATTAGGTATGAACAGATAAATGAGTGGAAAACACAGAAGAACAAGTCCTTCTGTTCACTGTTCTCCCCGATGATTTGACAAAATTCCAATTTAAGATGGTTCATTGAAATATGACAGCAATGTAATTAACAATTTTCTCATACATGAATTTTTTTTCCAATATTTCATTTTCCATGGAATATGAAGTAGTTGACAGGAAAGGAAAACATTTAAGGCAAATATGCGACTTGCACAGACGAGCTCATATTGCTAATGAAATATTCTAATATGGCTTTCCTGGATTGCTAATTCATATTTGTATAGGTGTCAGATCTTCTACATCTTACCTGTTCCATCAAGATGATTAAGTCATTTTGAATACTCGTTGAGGATTCCAAATTTCTTCTGTTGGCATCGAGCCAAACAAGAAGTCCATCAGCAAGATGCATCTCGCTGTCAGAAATCAGCAAGACATGAGAATTTCAGGAATACTTTAACCCAAAAGATACATAGTCAGACAAGACAAGAGTACCTGTCCACAGTCAGATGAGGATGTTTTATGCAATGCATCAACAACTCATATGGAACATTACCAAAAAACTTATTAGATTTCAGCAGCATCTGCGGAAGACATAACCGTCAATTATTAGCTATAATGGAGGAATGAATTAGAGCTTATATGGTGACAAAGTGTCCTCTGTCATCTAATAGATCATTGAATCAATCAATATGGAAAACACAACAAAATCTCATATATTAATGGATAACAAAGAAACAGTTTTCAGGCATCTGCTAAAGAGCTCTGCAACCGAAATTCAGAAACTGTCTTATTGTCAATCACCCAACAAGCATAAGCAATAACAAGAAATCTATTTCTCTTTCCATAAAAAAACCTGAATGATGACGGCCAACTCTTACGACAATTAACATTGACACTGCATTAGTGTATCAGCATTTCGTTAGTCAAGCCAATCCAAACTGAATCATTCAGCTCCACACATATTCAAGGTCATACCAGGAGTCCATCAAAAGATAATGGTCAACAACAGTTCCTTATATCATATACTATACCATACATCGAGACGGGTATGGGACATCAACAGCTACAACATGAATGACTGATGGCAAACCAAATGGTTAAAAACTAAAAACTGAAGAAAGTAGTTAGTGGTGAATACCCAAATGCCAGATGAGATGGAAATCAGGCACGTACAAAATTCTTTGCAAGATAAGCCGCACATAAATCTGGCACAAAGTCGCTGGCTGCAAGTATATTACAAAGTTACATGCATTAGAGATGATATGATGATACAAACACTGAACGCATTATCTGTGAACATCCAGCTCATATGTCTAGCACTTGAGATTACATCACAACTCTAATATCAAATGAATCATGTTATTGTTCCGAAAATTCCTATTTAAGCAAAATTTTAAGGACTTCCGAGATTTCTCACCATGCTCCAGGCCGAAATTCCATATACTAATAAGGTCATTTAATTCCATTGGTGGTGATTCGAGTCCCTTAGACAAGGCCAACACTGAAAGCCAAGATTTACATTTAGACAGAAGCACATCAACTCCAAAATAGAGTGCAGCCTACAATCACAAAGTAAAATTCTCGTATTCAGTATGAAACGAAAACATGTAACAGGATATAAACTGAGGAAAGGACTGAGATCAACATCGTCATCAAACCTCAAGGAGATGTAAGAAGTTTCTGGATGCAATATCCAAGGGGCAGCCATATATACATCTCAGAACATCCAAAAACACTTCTGGGTTCCACTGGATTGGGATGTCTTCAAGGCGTGATTCGCTGTGAGACAGACAACGTCAATCAAGTAAACCCAGTAAGATTCCATGATCAGAAACATACACAAAGCCATTTACACAGACACCAATATACATGTATGGACAATCAAACACACACACAAAAAAAACTGTATAAAAATGCATATATGAGTACAATATCGGAATCTACCTGAAGCTTCCGCTAAGAAGACCACGGAAATATGAAGAGCCTTGAACGAGCCTGCAGAGGAAAAGAGTGATTCGGAAAAAAATAGGGAACTCGAAAAACAAAAAATAAATCATTATACCGAAAAATTATCGGAACAAAAGCACGTAACCATGAGATTTTCGTGGGAGATTCAGCAATTACCTACTCCGATGAGCTCGAACGGTTACTCTTTCGCAGTTGAGAAGTTCAGGCAAATCCCAGGAATTGATAATTGAAGTTGAGGTCAAAACCTCTTCAACTTCAACATGTGCACCTAACCGACAAGGATCCGTCACTACGAGGATGACGAATTCATCGACCAGGCTTCGCGCCATCTAGCGAATACCAGCGAGTCCAATCAAGAAGGAAAATTCGAGAAAATACAGTGAAGCGCGGTATTTTGCAGAAACGAGAGACATATAGAGAAGGGAACTTCCGGTTCACAGATCTATGACCGAACCGAATCGAATTATACCATTTAAATTTTGGTCACAAAACCGAACCAAACCAATCTGAATCTTTCTTGTTACAAATTACAATACCATTTTTAAAATTAGTGATAAATGTAAAAGAAACAATTAGCTCCCTTCATATGATAATGGACTTTATCAGCTTTTCTTACTTTCGGTTCATCCATACTTTTATTGCATTTTTATTCAATTTGGGAGCCTTTTTTTTTTTTGGCAGTGACTAAAAAAAACACTGTGATTTTTCTTTTACCCTCAACAACTCTTTAATTGGAAATTCAAAATTCTCCAAAGAGGAGGAAACTTTACATAGTAGGCTTAAAAATTTCAACAGTTGTGAATCTGATACAAAGACGACATACCCTTGTGCGGAATAACATATATTTCATGTTCTTTGACACATTTCACCAGAAAGTTGTTTTTTTGACACCCCTAAAACAACTCAAACTCAAGATGATCTCCTACGGCTTTACACTCAAGATACCTGTTGTTACCCTCGGGCGAATTCACCACCTCCGGAGCTCCAAACTCGTATAAATCGGGCAGCTCGGGCGGGATAGCGCAACGGATGAGAGCCCAGTTCAGTCCCTCGAAAAACGGGTGCCTCTTGATCTCTGCAGCTCCTTTCTCTGACCCGAAACGATTCTCAGGATCCTTCACAAGCAACCCTCTGATCAGATCCTTCGCTTGGAAACTCACCAGCGGGCTATCGGGAAACTTGAGGTTCATCAATACAACATTCGCCAATGTCTCATCGTTGTTGTAACCTTTGAAAGGTGTTTTACCGTATAAAAGCTCGTAGAGAAGGATTCCGAATGTCCACCAGTCCACTGCAGCTCCATGCCCCTCTCCTTTGATGATTTCCGGGGCTAAATACTCGTGGGTCCCCACGAATGAATTGGATCTTGCATCGGTTGGCTCCGCCACGAGTTGGGGTAGTGATTTGAACTGTTGTGTCAAAAGATCAATCCTTTTTGGCTTTCGGATTTTCTGTTTTGCGGGTTGGGATGACGATAGCCTCGGGCTGAAACAGGGGACCCGACAAGATGGCTCAATGCAGAAGGGTTGTATGCAGTTGGATGTGTTCTGTGGACCCGAAACCCTGGCTGGATCTGTCCCGGGGGGATAAGATGATTTGAGAAGAGTTGGGTTCACAGCACATCTGAGTGAGAGGTCGAAATCCGTAAGCATAATGTGGCCATCTTCTCGGACAAGAATGTTTTCGGGTTTTAGATCTCGGTATATAACACCGAGCATGTGTAGGTACTCCAGTGCGAGGAGAACTTCCGCTACATAGAACCTGTTTACGGCGTTTTACCAATCAATACTCAGCACATCCCCTTAAACTAACAAGAAGCAACAATGTGGTAAGTAGTTATCTTACCTTGCTGCAGGTTCAGGAAAACATCTGCCGAGCTGTTTCTGCCTCAGGACATGAAGATCTCCACCAGGACAATATTCCATTACCAGACACGATAAGTTATCCGATGTAAATTGGGCATACAAGGTCGGTAGAAAAGGATGATCCAACATTTTCAGTATTTCCCTCTCTGTTTGGGCTCTTGGTGTCTTTTTTCTTCTTGCCAAGAACTCATTGTCCATTACCTTTATCGCAAACAGGCAGTTTGTACTGATCAACTCAGCAAGATATACTGTTCCTATGTCTCCACACCCGAGCTTCTTCAAAAGGTTGAAATGCCGAAGACCTAAAGTGCCATACTGCAATTTGACATGCTTAATGGCTTCCCATCTCACATCCATCGACATGTGAGGTTTATTGCCACAGCTAAACCTGCTTAGATTGCTCTCTTCACTCATCATGCTTGTGCTGCTGCTATAATCTCCAATGCTATCTTTTGAACTCAAGGAGAATTCAAACTTTTCACTTGAAGTTGGATTCTCTCTTTCCTTTTCATCAGTGGCACCGTTTCCACTGTAATTGCCTGAAGAGACGCCTTGTTTCATGACAATTCCGGCTTCAGTGCTGTTATGACTAATCTTATATGAACTGAAGGAATTCTCGCTGGCTCCTTTCCCGCTCTTAGCAATGTGATTCGGAAGAGGGGATGCAAGAGAATCCTGATCAGCTTCTCGACTGACATTTCTTGAAACAGAGCACAGTTTGTCTGAGCCAACCTCGGGATTATGATTAGGGTACGAAGATGGGTCGGTCTTGATGCTTGTATTCTTCAACGTGCAGTGGCACCTCTGGCAGAGAAGTTGATTTCTTGTAGGATCTAAAGAATCATCTACTTCCCCAACTTCATTCACAGGGTATGTTGCAGAAGCTACCCCAAGCTTGACCTTCTTTTTGAGCGAAAACTTTCTTCGTGCCCGGGCCTTGGGACGTGGAATAGTTCTTGTTACCTTGTTTAATCTTTTGTCGTTCTTCGTACCTGAACTGGGTTCATTACACAACTCCTTCTTCCCAGAACCTACCTCTGTTTGCTCTTCTTGCACTCTAGCAGATGAGAGAATGTTCTTGTTTTGTTCTGTGGAATCATCTCTGCTGGCGGAACGAGAAGGCATCGAAGTGACATGTTTGTCTACTTCTACCAGATCTTCTTTGGTGACAGAATTAGAAGAACCCAACAAAACAGTTTTGTCTAACTCTATCACTTCGTCACCACTGCAGGAACTAAAACGAGACACAGGTTTGCTGGATTTGCGCAACAACTCGGTTTCTGACTGTTTGTTTGCAATTTTTTCAGACAAGGAGTTGTTTCCACTTTTGCGGGGAATGATTCCATACTCGAGGACATCAAATTCCTGAGGCACACTCCTTGAAGAGCTCGGTTTATTTTCCTCCGGTGTCGAAGACATCTCAACCAAGCTGCCTTTACCCTTGTCTACATGCAGCAAAGATCTGTTTGCAGATTCAACCAATACTTGATTGTACAAACTCTTTATCCTGTCTGCTTCAGAGATCCTTGGAGAAGCAGCAGCAGATTTCGATAACCGTTTCTGTGCAGCCATTTCAGATGCCTTGGAAATGCAAAGATCCCTCAGAGCTTGCTTCAGAGAGACTGAATCAGAGGGTCCAACTCTCGGTGATCTGGGCGTCCCCATTGTAATTGGCTTTTTCATCGGGTTTCTTCTCGAAGGGCTCGTGCTCCTGCTCGTGCCCGTGCTTGAGCTCATCTCAAGACGATGAAACGAAGAACCCGTTACTCCTTTGGCTGAGCTTTTCGCAGTTACAGACTGGAAGAGCTTATCAATGTCATACTCCAGAGAACCCCGGTAGGATGGCTTGCCCACAGGATGTTCTAGATCTTTGCCTGAACCTGAAACCGGTCTACAATATCTACTGGAGTGTTTAGCAGATTTAACCTCGTCCTTCTCTTCTACGATTTCACAAGCACCCGTGAACGATCCCATTGAAACGATCACTGCACCAACACAGCTTCACAGTGGCACAAACTGGGAAAGAACAGAGCCCCTCATGCTAATACGTGTTCACAGTCCAAGATTCAAAAACAATGAAACCCCTGAAAATGCAAACCAGCTTAATCCGAATCTCTTAACACTTGGTGTTTCCATAGAACTTGAGCCATCACTTCGTACTAAAACCCCTCAGCACTAACACTGCAAAACCCACTAACACGAGAAGCAATGAAAGTCAGAATGTATGGAAAAGCACAGAACTTTGAAACCAATTAAACAGGGGTACCTCTACAACATCAATATAACTTCAAATGAAGAACGTGTAAAAGTAACAGGAGAAAGAAATCGGTAAAAAGAAAAAGAAGCTGCTGAAAATATCAAAAGAGAGATGCAATGGTCAAAGACAACTCAAGAACAAAGGTTTCATAGAAGATGTAGCTAGCAAAATTTAATAACTAAAGTCATAATAGTTATAGACCTAATCATGAAACCTAAGGATAGATGCCCAGATTATAATAATATAGCAAAAAAACACATTTTTCGAAAGAAAGTTTCAAAGAAAATGATCAAAAGCTTGCACCGAGTTGAATATTTTAGCTGGCTGCAAAGTTCAATTACACTACATTGAGATGGACCAACCAAATACGCGGATGGGGAAAAACAGCTAAATTCCAACGAAATGGCTGACCATAAAGATCGAGATTCAGATAAAATATTATACAAATCTCGTGACAGTTGAGCAAAATCTGATCATAGTAGCTGCAAGGTAAAATCTAACAACTACGAAAACCCAAGAACAGAAGAATCCTGATTTCAGAGCAAAAAGTTACGAATCAAAACATCATAATAATACCATGAAAACAATGTATCGGATCTGTTGAAGGTATAGATGGTGAAAGTATGAACAGTAGCTGAAAGAGAAGAGAGAGGATTCGGATTTCAAACACATTAAATGCAACAAAGAAAAAGGAGATGAAAAACCCACCGATAATCCAAAATGTCAAATCATCTGGAGAAATGATTCAAACCTCGCAGCAAAACACATCCAGAAAACGTGAAAAAGGAAAACCCAACTAAATACACACACACACGAAAACCTGATCACGGAACACAAGCTCACTGCCCAGAAATGGAAACTCGGAAAAGGAAAAAAAAACCTTCAACGAAACATACATACTAAAAAACCCATGTGAAAACGATCTCAAATCTCGTGAAAAGCAACCAAAACATCGAAATGTGTGAGACGAACAGAAGAAAAAGCGCATTTGAAAAGGTAAAACTAGAGGAAAAACACGGAAGAAGCCGTACCCAGAAAGAATAGACGATCGAAGAGGCAGAAGCCAAAGAGATTCCGAAGAGGAAACCGCGTGAATCCGAAGCTCCGATATGCCCAGAAACCCTAATTGCCTCTTGCTTGGGGAAGATCCAGAGACAGAGAGAGAGAGTAGAAACAATTTACTAGAAAGAGGTAGGAAGGGAAAGAAGGAGATGAGAGAGTAAAAAAATATTATTATTATATGGGGATAATTTTGGTTTTAGCGATGAGAGCTGAGAATCAAGTTGAAAGCCATGGTGGACCCCACGCCATATGTTTGCGAGTTAGCGAAAAATACGTTTTCGTATGCTCGATGTAGACCCACTGACATTTACATATATATATATATATATATATGTATGTATGTACGTATGTATGTAAATACTTTTTAGAAAGAGTGATAATATTTTTTTCTTATTACAATTCACACTAATATTGTACAATTCAAAACTGTTGTATGATTTCAAATTTAATTGAATGATATTATATTCTCTATTTTTTGGTAAAAATAATATTTTACATAGAGGAATACATTAAAAAATGACATACAGTTTTCCATATGCCCAAATTTGCTGCGATTGAATTAATTGGTGTTCATCACTAAATCTTTTACATAAATAAATAATAATGTTTAAAATATTGTGGTTAAACCAACAACCACCTCATCATAATTTTTAAAAATTTTATAGGTTTATTTTAAATTTGGTTAGAAAGAATTAATTACGGTCAGTAAAGTAAATGGTTAAAATAACTTATCTGGCTCTAAAGAAGAAAAAAACAGTTTTTTATGAAATTATTGTAATATATATCAATAATTGAGGAACAATGTTGTCAGAAGAAGGCAGAAACTCATTTGTGCCCTTGGACACCACATTTTCTTGTTTGTCTTTCTCACAGCTCTCGAATATCATGGCTTATTTAATCTTTTTAAATATTTATTTTGTAAGAAAATTTGAAAACAATTTTGTTAGTCGAATTTCACATCCATTTTTAAAATATACAATATAAAAGTATTATATATCTGCATATATATATAATGATAAAAGATTTGTTCGGATGGATGACATATGAAGTGATATCAGTCAAATGCAAAAAAGTTAAGTATAATGGGTTATTAAAAAAGCTAAATTTAACTGCATGCTTAGTTAGACTTTGACGACGATGATTAAACAAAAATGGTACTAAATTAACAAAATAATTATTTTAATCTGTAAGGCCAAAAAATTGATTAAATTTATTAGTTTATAACCCTTTGGGCCTTTCCTTTGGTGCCATTGTCTTCTCCAAATCTTGCAAAGATTAATATGCTTTCAAAAAATATTTGTGTTACGTTTTATGCTAACTGCATTTGACAAGAAATCTATATAAAAAAGAAATATTTTAAAAATTTATAAAATTTTATATTTTCATTTAAATGTATAAATTACTTGTCAATTTTCAAATAAATATACACATTTTAAAACCTAACTAGTGTGATTAAATTTTAATTTTTTTAATATGATGTTAATGTGATTAAATTATACTATATACTCGTACGTTTTCTCACACGATTTGAAAGTAAGGGTAAAAATGTATTTTAGTTGTTTCAATTTATATTTTCCAAAAAATTGGGTTTAGGATGATAGTCATTAAAGTCAACATCCAAAAGGAAGAATATTTTAGATATATTGTCATTTCGATCACCTATCTGTTTTTTTAAGGTCGTTAAAACCCGAAACTAATCTAGAAATAATATAAAAGAAGTTATATTTATGAAAATTTAAATTCTTATATATTTATTTTAAAATCTTTTAAGGGTCGAAGTATTTTTTTTATGTGATTTAGAATAATTACAATCTATAAAATATAATACGTGCATCTGATTCAAATGCTGCCCATGTTATGGTATTATCGCCATGCCGACCTTGCACGAGTATCCTATGCTTTTGAGTGAAATAAAAGAAAATTAATGTCATATTAATTATATATAAACATAGCATGGTCCAACATAAAAATACGAAATGGAACCATAATATTATAGGGATCGGTAGGCCTTTCTAATAACATGTGTGTAGGCATTCATTTCTAGATTTTAAAAAAAATATATTATATATACGAGTTTTTTTTATATTCCAACAAGTTTGAAAATTTGTGATTTATATATTAGATTCAAATAATTATCTGCACCTACAAATTATATTTAGAAATGAAATACACAAATAAGATGATAATGACCATACATTGCATATGACCCTATGGAATCAATGATTTTCTATCCGATATACGTTCAAACTTCCTTCAATTATCAACGTCGGTAGTTTCTTAACTCACATATATATATATATATATATATATATATATAGAGAGAGAGAGAGAGAGAGAGAGAGAGGAGAACATAATAGGATGCTTTATCCATTTCTTTTTACCATACCGTGAATTGAAAATATATGCATTTTCAATGTTGTTAATTTATTTTTAGAAGTTTATTTTAAAATCATTTTTATATTATGCTCTTAGAAACCAAATTGATCATATTTTCTTCAAAGCCGATATGATATAACAGTTTATATATATATATATATAGTAAGTGTAATGATAATTAATAACATTTTTAACTACATATATAAGATAAGCATATAGCCTAAATCATAGTTGAAAGATGGAGATTAGACTTAAAACAGGCACGTTGATTAAGCCTAGGATCCCTCTTTCTGCGCCTTTAATCTCTTTCCTCGTGCTTTTTAATCCCACTAAAGTATTCTCATTACTTAAACTTTATCATATTAAATCATTAAAGATAAGCTTAGATTCCCGTCATAATTTTTTTTTTTACTTCTACTTCCGTTTAACATTTATCTAATCAAATGATTGTATGTTACATATATTTATATATATATATATTGACTGTATTATATGTATCTTCACCATACGAAGGCAAACAGTCGAATTGAGTCTAAAGTCTAGAGAAAAATTATTACAGAAAAACCCAGTGTGGGGTGACAAAATGTTAAGGTGAAAAAGAACAAAGTCCTCCCACCCGAATTTCAATCCACTTAGGCAAATTTTACCAAAAAAAAATTATTATAGAAAAATTAGTAGTATTTTGGTGTCATAATCAGTGGCAGACCTAGATAAAAAGTTCAGCCCAGGACAAATAATATATATAATAAAAAAATTATTTACATATTATAATAAGTGAAAATTGGGAGGATAACTTTTATTTTTTAAATTTTTTGTTAAATTCATAGAAATTCATTTTTTTTCCTAATATCACCGGGCACGTGGCCCCACTCTACAAATAGTGAATCCGTCATAATCATTGTTTTTAGGAAAATTGTATATTAAAATGCAAACTCGTAAAAAAACTCAAATAATTATTTAGATATAAAAATTTTATATAAATACATGAATTATTTTTAATTTTTAGAGGTAATGGCCGAAAAAAAATTTAATATCTATATTTTTGTATTAACTAAAAAATATATATACAATTGGTTTGTCTCAAAACAAATTTTATATTTTTAAATTATTCCTAAAAAAATATTTACCATCAAATAATCGTCATATAGGATAACCGAAATACTACGAGACGGTGAAAATTTTTAACCTCTCTACTAAAATGGTGAAAAACTAATTTTGAAATTTTTCGTTTAACAAAATTATTCTCAAATTTATAAAATATATTATTATAATTTTCAAATTTATCAATTGGGCCTATTTCAACATTCAAACGAGTGTCGGAACACCCGGATCGAGTGTTACTTTGAACACTTTAAAAGGAGGGCATTTTCTCGGCTAGGAGAGAGTAGTCATATAAAAAAATTAAGAAAAAAAATTCCCGAAACCCTTACAAAACAGACTCTCGAGGTTCTAACTGACCAGATCCAATCAGATTGGATACAACCCATCGTGCCTTCATTACCACCATTAATTTCCTCCCAAAATAGAACCCCAAATCCAAAACCACACAATCAATGCTCAAGATAAATAAATAATCAATTATCACAACAAATTTATCAAATTTGATTGTATATGCATGTGTTATTCGGGAAAGAATTGAAAATTTTGATATGATTATGGGTTTTGAAATGTATACAAAAACCATTGGATAATCTATCAGTCGGCACATATTCATCCATGAATATTAGAGACACAAGCTCTAGAAACCGCGATATTTGATGTGACTACTATATGTTTTATATAATAAAATTAATGGTTTAAATTCGTTTGAAAGAAAAGCCTATATATATATAGTTAAGATCATGCTTTTTTTCTCATTGTAATAAAGGATCGCGACCGTTGGAAAATCCGAGTGCCACGTGGCAACATTATGATTACATCCTGCCGTCTTAGCCAATCATCTTTCAATATCTATATATATATATGTAAAACTTGTGTATCCGATTTTACTCATTTGCTGTTCAATTTGGGGCCAAGTACCTACTCTCACGGAAGACCATCATTGCTGAGTGAAGATAAGCCTCGACTGAGCGGGAAAAATGGCGGAGAAGAGCTTCAAGTACGTCATCCTAGGCGGCGGCGTCTCTGCTGTGCGTATCTGTGTGCTGTTCTCTTATTTCCCCCGCTTTCCGGAAATTTTTCCGAATATAATTTCCGTTGTCGCCGTTGTTTCCGATTTGGAGATGCTTGAATCAGTTCCATTGCAAATCTCGCCGTCATTTTCGCATCGTTTCTAGGAAAATTTCACGCCTAAAGCTCGTTTGTCGTTTGTGTTTTAGCTTTGTATAGATGGAGATCTAGATGTTTCAGTTGGTGCCTCATAACTTATGTATGGTCCTTTGGTTCCGTTCAAGTTATAGCACAATTGTAACTTGATCGATGATCTTTGGGTCCAGTGTTTTATTATAGACGAAAGTTATGTTTATCAGTGAAATTACGTATTTTGTTATTGGGTTCTCCAAATGTATGTGATTCTCTCTGTATGTTTCTTTGTTTTAGGGTAAGATAAGTTGTTCAATGTGTTGTTCATATGATCGTAATCGTACTCACAACAGAAGCTAATGGTAAAATGTACTGCGATCATGATTGGAATCGCCCTTATGAAAAGAATGATTGCTGTTGGAGAAATTTCTCTGATTAGTTTTGTTTCGTTTCTCTCGGTGTTGTCTGTAGGGATATGCAGCAAGGGAGTTTGCCAAGCAAGGAGTAAGGCCTGGAGAACTAGCAATTATCTCCAAGGAGGCGGTAAGCTTTCACTCATCTTCATGGAATTACTAGCCCGTTCGTGTTAGAACAAAGATTTCCAAAACTTGCTATTACCAATTCTGCTCATACCATGTAAAAGAGTGTGGAGAGTTATTGTGTTAGGAACTTGAAATACGAAGCTTGCTGATACGATCCTAGTTTCTGAGCTCTCGAACTTGACTTGCTTTCCTTTGCTCGTGCTCGTGTCAATGCCCTAAGGATGACCTCATCACTTGCAGCAGAGTTTCGATTGCTTTCCATGAGATTTCTATGACATTTCAGTAATCGGAATGAAAAGACAATGGTTTCAGAGCTCATGACCATATATGCACACTGTTCAATGATGTTATATGCTATTCTGATATTCAAGTGCCATGACAGTTCCTTGTTTTCTTGACCTCATGCTTTAGGTTGCTCCCTATGAGCGTCCTGCCCTTAGCAAGGGATATTTATTTCCTGAAGGTAACACAATTTCTTATTACTTACCTGCTACAAACTGTGATGTTTTGTGTATAACTTTGCTTAAGTTATTTGTTCTGAGTAATGATTGTAATCTCGTCTCCATTGCAGGGGCTGCTAGACTACCAGGTTTCTATGCCTGTGTTGGTAGTGGTGGTGAAAAACAGCTTCCAGAATGGTACAAAGAGAAAGGTATTGAACTTGTCCTTGATCTTTCAGTGATTCCAAAGGGACTTAACCACATTGCATTATCCACAACCTAAATTTGTTATGTTACAAGAACTCAATCCCGTTTTCCTTGATTCTCCGCCAATTTGTATTCTTTGGCCTTTGCATTTGCAGGGATTGATTTGATACTGAGCACAGAAATAGTGAAAGCTGATATTGCTTCCAAGACTCTTGTCAGTGCAGCTGGGGATATCTTCAAGTACCAGACTCTGATAATTGCTACCGGTTCTACTGTAAAGAGCAATCAATATCTTTGCGTATAATCTTTGCTTCTAACATTTTTTCGAATACGAGGAAGGTAACGTTCTTCTCCCTTTGCAGGTTATCAGATTAAGTGATTTCGGGGTTCAAGGTGCAGATTCCAAGAATGTCCTTTATTTGAGAGAAATCGATGATGCGGACAAGTTGGTAGAAGCAATAAAAGCCAAGAAAGGAGGAAAGGCCGTTGTTGTCGGAGGAGGTTACATAGGTCTTGAGCTTAGTGCAGCTTTGAGGATCAACGATTTCGATGTCAGTATGGTTTTCCCGGAACCTTGGTGCAGTAAGTCGACACATCTCTACCAAAGTGACCTGTACATACATATATATATATATATATCAGTTGCGCCTGTTAAAAGTTATTATTCGATGTTCATGCAGTGCCTAGGCTATTCACACCCGAGATTGCTGCTTTCTATGAGGCTTATTATACGGACAAGGGAGTGGAAATCATCAAGGGAACTGTGGCTGTTGGGTTCACCGCTCATCCGAATGGAGAGGTAAAATGAATAAATCTTTACATGTGTATAGTTGATAGATCAAGGTGTTTTCCCGCCCTTAAAGAAGCCGGGGATCTCTGAACGATGTCTGAGCTCGTTCTTCCTCACCTTTTTTCTTTATACTCTGTTACAATTTTATTAAAGGCCTAAACTCCCCTCTATAGGGGTATTATAGCCGGCTGCCCTCTCCTATGTGGCTCCTCCTCTTCGGCCAGCCTCACGGTGATAATCCTAGGGTCTCGGCCCGTTATTTCCAAATCTCCCAACCCAAAACGATTAAAAACTATCCAACCCCAATTAACTAATAAAAAGCCTCCTAAACATAACATAATATAGGCGTTAAACTAGGATTCAGTCAACAGTTTACCCGATTATATCATAAAAGATAGGGGTGGGCGTTTCTGTTCGAAGATTTAGTTCCAAACCGATTGAATGAGTTTTGTTTCGTTGTTTAAAACTGGAATACCGTAATCAACTATATATAATTTGAGACAAGTCGAACTGAACCGACCTGTTCCGAGTAGAACCGAATTGACCCATAATGTGTGATTGAGAGATTCTGAGAAAATGAAATCTTTAAAATAACTACCAAACTGATCTGAACTGAACCAAACGAAATTGTGACCAACTTTTGGTTCCTATTTGGTACTCATATAACAAAACTGTTTTGAACCGGAGTGATACCATAACCGAACCGACCCAAATAACATACAGTTATGATTTGGTTTGAGTTGTGTAAAACCAAATGAACGTTTCCGAACCGTACCGCAGCCTCGAACCGCCCACCCCAAATAAAAACAGAACTTAAGAATCTTATGTTTGCTGTTCTCGTGCCATTGTTCAGGTGAAGGAAGTACAACTCAAAGACGGAAGATCCCTCGAAGCTGACATCGTGATTGTCGGAGTTGGGGGGAGACCGATGACAACATTGTTTAAGGGACAGGTCGAGGAAGACAAAGGCGGAATCAAGGTAATAATACCTGTTTCCCCCTCGATGATCAAAAGCTACATTTTTCTGATCAGATCTGTTAATCTGTCATATTTCTGTATCGAATTTAGACCGATGGATTCTTCAGAACGAACATTCCCGATGTCTACGCCGTTGGGGACGTTGCTACTTTCCCATTGAAAATGTACGGTGACATGAGAAGAGTCGAGCACGTCGACCATTCCCGCAAGTCAGCCGAGCAAGCTGTGAAGGTACGTTCCACATGGTTACTGTATTTTTTTTCTGGGATTTGCCCTATAATGACACGCTTTCGATCCCTAAAACAGAACAAAAACCATAAACTTTTTTTTCTATGTTAAAACCGAATCTCGAATCCTATCGTTTTTTCATGGTGGTTTTAGGCCATAAAAGCGGCGGAGAAAGGCGGATCGGTGGAGCAATACGACTACCTTCCGTACTTCTACTCTCGTTCCTTTGATCTGTCATGGCAGTTTTACGGCGACAACGTCGGAAACTCGGTCCTTTTCGGAGACAGCAATCCGAAGGATCCGAAACCGAAATTCGGAGCGTATTGGATCAACGAAGGGAAAGTAGTAGGAGCGTTCTTGGAAGGAGGAAGCCCGGAAGAAAACAAAGCAATTGCTAATGTGGCCAGCAGTAGACCTGAGGTTGAGAGCCTCGACGCATTGATGAAGCAAGGCCTTTCCTTCGCCACCACGAAGATGTGAAAAAACATAAGCATATAAACACGTGTCACAAAACAACAAAATAAAAAAGAGACTGAACTGTTGTTTGTGTTCAAGCTTCGGACATTGGTTGGATCTTGTTGGGAGTATATAACCGAATCTTGCTACTTGAATAACGGTGAGAATTCAAGTATGTTCGGACAAAGAATAATGCTATTTCTTCCTAAAATTTTCTATTTTTTAATGGTCTAATAATTTTGTTGTCACTTTCCAAACATTTTAAATTTTAAATTGTAAATTACTAAACCCTTAATTTTCATATCAAAACTTTAAAATTCTAAATTCTAAGATTTGGGGTTTTGGGTTTAAGGTTTTATAGTTCAATTAAATTCTAAATCCTGACATTTAGGGATTATCTTTTGCAGTTTAAGACTTAGAATTGGTTTGGGGTTTAGGACTAAGGGTTGATTTTAGGGAATTATGGTCAACTTAGAGTCAGTTTAGAGTTGAAGCTTTAAGATTTAATGTTTAGTTGTCTGTTTAGGGAATTGTTCATGTTTTGCAAGAAACAACGCAGATTTAGCAAATTTACTTTTCAAATTTATCAAATGATTCCTACCAATGGAATCAATGTATAAACAAAAAGGCTATCTATCTAATGTTCTTCACCAAGATTCACTGATGCAACAGAACAAACAACTTCGTGCCTATCTATAAAGGATATATATATATGTATATGTATATGTATGTATGCAGTGACAGCTTTCATGGCCCTGGAAATTATAAAGGAAAAAAGGCATGGAGCAGTTTTATTGGGTTAGGATTCCGAGGACGAGACTTTTAAAAATATGAGCCTGAATTTATTTGGGCCTATCAAAATTTTAAATTACGATGAAATTAGATATTTATTTGGCGTTTTTTAAGCATGATTATAGTTATTACGTGTGCGTGTGAAATGAATTATTAGATTAAACTTAAAATAATTTATTATAAACATCACACTTTATTGGTTCGTATACTAAGACCATAGTTGATCCATTTTAATGGAATTCTCTAAGACCATAGTAGTTGCGGGTCTTCATTTTTAGTAGAATGATTATGTGAGTCATACACGTAGTTGTTTCAGAAACATATATATAATTTGGGTGTGTGAAGAGATTCTTATAATTAATAAAAAATTGATTGACGTTTTATATATAAATTAATAACTGAGAAAAAAAGTATTTAAATTACATATTTCTTGTATACGATCATGACATGGAATATGAACCAACCAAGCTTATGTTATTTTTGAATGAGAAACGAAAGTCATTTGGAGAGATTAGTTTAATTAGTTCATGGGGGGAATACAACAACGATGCATGCAGCCATAAAGTTAGGTTAGAGTATATTAAATTGAAATGAAAATAAAAGAGGATTTTGCCGATAGAATTATATTATCACTTCATTAATTTATGTAATTGTTTTTCGGACAAGTCATTTATTTTTGTGAGTCCACTAAAGAAGACAGAGCCACTGAAAGTGGTGGGACATCTATCACTTTAATGTCAGTTTCTCAAAACCTAATCCAGAGAAAATATTATTTAATGTATATTGAATGGCTAAAATTCGTTTCTGTGAATGGTTCATATCATTTTTATAAACTAACAAAAAAATAAAACTTATCGCAGGAATTAAAATACAGAGAAACCCAAAGATTGGATGGCTCAACCAATAAGAAATGAAACAAAATTTCTTTTTTAACCCGAGTTCGAATCCTCCTCTAGAGAAAGATATTCACATAGATTTTCCGATCTTCTGAGAGATATAGTCAGAACAGAATTAGTCCGGTGAATTTTCAGATTATAAAAAAAAATAAAGTATAGAAAAAATATATTTTTTAAAGAAACTAATATAAAGGAAGAAAAGCCACACAAAAAAAGTTTTTGGAACTTATATTTTACATAGAAAAACTAAAATCACGTTATTCAACGGGCCTCGTGGAAATTATGGAACGAAATATGCCAAATTGCCAAGCTGGTTTGACAGATGGTCCGTCAATATCCACAATGACCGTAAAGTTAGCTGTCACATTGTTTTGGTCATTTATTTGTTTTGGTAAAATAAAGTAACATATTGCCGTCGCTGTTATTATTGAACTAGAAATATGCATGGCATGCCACTCTTAAATCCAACCCTATATTGGTTTCTATTTGCGTCATGCCACGAAACCATTCTATCCTGAGTATCCTCTTTCAAACTCGACCACAAATATATGAGACGAGGGGTTGACTTAATTGGGGTATTATAAAAAATATCCTTACTTTTCTATTTCTACTTCAAGACATACCCTTGTGATCATGTGACCAATGTGACCGAAATATAGTGTGGTCACATATTGATCTCATTGTTCATAACATTAAATTTATGATGTTTTAATCAAATGATTAGTAAGATATATAAGGTATGAACACAATGAATTAGTGTGATCACCATAAATTTAACATTATAATCGATAAAATCAAAATGTCATCACATTATATTTCGGTCGCATGGTCACAATGGTAGGTCTTGAATTAGAAATAGCAAAGTAATGATATTTTTGATATAATGCCGACTTAATTACATAAGCAAATAATTATAATAAAATGCAAGATTTATAAAATTTTGCCATTAACTTAACCTACCATTCTTACTTTGGCGACTCGGTCGTCTTTCATATTCGAACGATAACGACGAGTTGGGACCAGATGAGTTAGAAGATATAGCCATTTTAATTTTGTTGTTTGCATAAAGCCCACTTTGAAATTGCCCATTGAAGATGAAATCATCTCTTTGCTTTCGAAAATTGCGTCGAATATCAGACGAATTTCTTTCTATTTTTTCGAATAGTTTTAATTAAAATAAGGTTAGAAACGTCTTTTAATTGTTGGTTTTGGGAGGTGATTCGTTAAAATGATAACAAATGAAGGGTATTTTTTTATATATATATTATTTTATAGATAAGAGGCAAAAATATCTTTTTTTCCACTTTTGTTAATTTAATTATTTTATTAATTTTGCCTCCGTCTCTATATTATCTTTTTCTTCTCTATTTTTTATTTTTTTTTATAGATTTTGTTTTTAAAATTATAAGAAACAGAACAATGTTAACCCATGGAATAAATAAAAGATATTTCAATTTACCTTGAAATTTTGACAAAAATATACACATCCTTGAGTTAAGGTCATGTTTTATAATTTTTTCACAACAAAACCGCGGGTTTTCACAACCAATATATTATTAGTAATAATAATAATAATAATTAATATTTCAGTTTACCTTGCAATACGTGGAAAAATTGACCAAAATTTCGAGGAATGTGAGTCCACATGCAACGAGAAAAAAAATGCATGAAGAAAACCAACAGTCAAACATGGCTTCTCCCAAGTCAACGTCAATCCTCACGGGCTGCACGTGGTCCCTTTGTACTTTCTACTTTTCTTCTTAAGAAATAATCTTTTTTTAACTTTTTGTGAAAATAAAGCTAAATATTTAACGATATTTAGAATTATATGTTTTTTTGGTAAATTTAGAATTATATGTTTTTTTTGGAAAATTTAGAATTATATGTTTTCATATCATGTTTAACGATATTTAGAATTATATGTTTTCATAACTGGTACATGTTTACTGCATATAATATAATACGAACATCGATAGAAATATATGTTTAACGATATTTAGAATTATATGTTTTTTAAACTGTTTGATTTTGATATTGTGAAAATTATATATTTAGAAGAAAAAAAAACGAAAAATATTCCGATATCTTTAAATCATTTAAATCTCAATCATCTTCCAAATCTCTAAATTTTTCGCTAACTCACCTTGTCTCAGTCTCACATCATATAATATTTAATCATAAATCTCTCGTCCGGTAGATATTTATGAAATACTTATAGTAATTATCATATATATATATATATATATTCCTTTTACCAATAAATCGGATTAAGTGAGTAGATATAATGCATATTCAAAATTTCAAATCATATCAATCACAATACAATATTTTTTTTTTCACTTTTTAGTTTAATAATACAAATATATACATCTAGTTTTCATTCCAAGTATTTTTACACCATATTTTTTTATAATATTTGGATATCTATATTACAAAAATGTTTGTAATTCTTATGACCTATCCTGTGAATCTTATCTCAGAAAGCGAATCATATTTATCACATTTTCCCCCATTTTATCATTTATTGTATGAAAATGGATAAATTTTGTATGTTATTGACCTTACTATTTTGGACGAAACCATCTTTTATACTCTTTTTCACGATGCCATGTGTACTTATTGCGTGTATTTATATTCGCAAAATAAAAAAAAATATATGCATGAAACTTTAAATAACTTCAAATAATACATATGGTTTAATGGTCACGCTTCATCTTTTTCATCTTTCTTCTCTAAGATCGAATCCAATTTTTAAAAAATTTACTAGATAAGTTAGAATTTTAATTATAAATCTAAAAGAAAAAGTACGAAAAAATAGTTAAATAATTTATTTTAAAAATATTTTTAAAAATAATAGTTTTATTTTAATTTTTTTAACAAGTACATGAGTAAATGTATATAAATTTATGCAATTTATTATATTTTATTTGATTTGATGTTTTTCAAATAGGAAATAAATTCATTATCAAATTTTTATAAAAATAATAATTTAATTTGAATTTGAATATAAATTTTTTGTAATCATAATTATCACATATATATATATATATTAAAAATATTCAATTAAATTAAATCACAGATTCTAATTCAAATTCAATATATAAAACATTTTAGTTTATAAATTCCAAATTAAGTTCAAATTACTAATAACTCCTGTTTTTGAATACCAATTAATTAAAAATATTTATTTATTTTACCCGACTCGTATGGTGACCATTTATTAATATAAAATAAGTCTTATTATTAACAAAGAGACAGCTGGAGGGTTAGAAAATAAATAAGGGAAATTAATTATGATTCCGACTTCAGTTTGACGCTTGTCGGTACCGTTCATTCATTCGCACCCTTTTTTCTTCCTCGCATTATTCACGTATATTATAATACCAATGCAGTAAATAACAAAAATTAGAAATTCAAAAACACCCTTATATTTTTCGTATTTCTCAAATATCACCTATAATTATTATCAAAACCTTCTTAACCTCGATTACATTGCTGTTATTATATATTGATATTTTAATTATAGGTTCAGATTTTTAGATTTTAAAATATATATATATATATATATATATATATGTATATATATATTCAGATTTTAATATGTTGGATTGGTTCAATTATGTTGTCGTTCAAATTCGGTTCGAAATTTAATTTTTTAATTGAAAAATATTACACACATTCAATTTTTATACATTATTATTGATCCAAACATGTTCAGGTCATTACTGTAAGGGTTTGATTTATTCAATATTAAAAAAACATGTATCCAATTAAAATTGAAATATTTTTTTTGCTATATTTGATTTCATTTTGTAAAATACTATTTTCTAAAAAATTAATATTTTGTTGTTAGATTTAATTAATTTAATTGAAAAAAAACGTATACATTCAAATAGTTTTATTTCATTGATCTAGAACACTATTATAAATACAGGCAGAACATTCTATGACATGGATATTGTAAAATATAATATACAGGTATTTGTGTATGACAATTGGTACATAAGCAAATTAATGAACATTTAGTAGTGTTGTCTGCTATGAGTTTATTGTATTTTTTTTAGCTATTTTTGAAATAAATAAAAAAAGATAATACCGAAATAGCAAATATGGAATACGTACTATTGATATTTTATACATTATAAATAGCTTATTCAACATCGAAATTCTGGGATCAATTATTCGGCAAAAATCTATTCGAGTTAAATGATTTTGAAGGTCTTTTATGTACTTTTGAAAGTATATTTGAAAATTTGATATAATATAAAATTGTAGGGGTGCTTTAATGAAATTTCCCTGTACCACATAATCTGGTTTGGTTTCACCAGAATAAACAAATCAGTTTAATTTTTATAAATTGGGAAACTCAGATACCTTAGGTAGGCGGTGTCAGGGATAATAGAAGCGGCGTCACCAAACACAATTGAACAAAATATAGAATAGATAAAAAAACAAAACAAAAAATGCAGAAAAAATAATATTTCTTTATTAGGTGGAAGAGTCTCTCATCCATCAATGCATGCTTTGCTTGAACAACGTTTTTTTAGATTTGATATTTTATAATTTGGATTACAGTTTAGGTTTAGTTATTTTTAGGTTTATTTGTTTAAAATTTTTTATATATAATTTTTATTTTGATTCCAAGTCTATTCAAATATATTTGAATTGATTTTTATAAAAAAAAATATAGTTACATTATTTTTCTCTAGTATGGTAATACAATAAATGTCTAAATATACCTCTGTGGGGTTTTGTCATATAAAACCAAAATATATGGAATTAATTCTAATTGATTTGGATCGAGTTTATTTGGTTTAATCAAACCAGCGAGATTTGGTATGAGACTAATATTTTATATTTCTTGCCATTCAGAGGAAAGAAAATGAAAATATAAAAGAGAAATAACTCAATATTATTCGAACCTAAAATGATATAAACATAATATTAATGAAAAAGAATTATAATGCATTCTAATCGAAAATTTGATCGATAAAATAACGTTTCTGCCCTTATTGTCTTCTGGGTCCTTACCAATTTATATTTTGTTTTCATTTTTTTATAACTCTCAACACACTTTTTTTTCTCTCCAGAGAACTCTCAATTCAAATTTGTCAACAGGAAATATATTTTATGTTAGAATATAAAAATTAGACAAATCCATTGTATAAAAAAATAATTTGAACGAATAAATTAATACATATAATTGTAATTTCACTGTTTTTAATAACGACTCTTGAACTTTTACTTTAATATATTTTTGTCGATTTAGGACTAATCGATAATATATATTTTTAAAACATAAATGGCTGTTTTGGATTATGAAAGTTTTTTTTATATATAACTCGGAATTTAACCGGCCTTCGGTCTGAATTATGAAGTTTCACATATCCAATTTTAGTGGGCAATTGTTTTGGTAAAATACAAGGCGCGAGTCACGTTTACAATATGGAACAATCAATAATGTCATATTTCTTTTTTTTTGTTGACTAAATAAATAAGAGTGTTTGGTGAAAAGAAAAATCGATTTTGTCTATTTATTTATTTATTTATTTATTTTCTAACTATACATACAACGCCTAAAGTTGTGAAAATATGTAGAGTAGTGGTTTGATTAAATACTGTAAAACCTTTCAACATCAGTTGGTTTGGGATTTCGTATTATTTTAATATCAGAAGAAGCTGAAATAATAGTACTTGTTTTATTTTTACAGTCTATACGCTGTCGGTTTAATAACTAGATTTTATGAAATAGTGAACATGGGATTATTTGATTAATTAATTATTTTATAAAATTTAGATATGATAAATATTTTTTAAATATTTAGAAATTTAAAATAAAGTTTTTAAAATTAAGAAATTAAAATGATAATGTATAAAATTGAAATTTTTTTACGATTTATTTAATAATTTATATGTTCTAAATTTTGAAGTTTTTTGTATTTGTAATATTTTTTTTATAAAATACTATGTTTGATTTATATTAATAATATGATAATATAAACAAGTTAATATGTTTGATTTGGATTAATAATAACGTCCTAAAAATACTTTAAGCAATGTTGTTTTCGGTAAATTTTTATAAAAAATGATTGTCTAGAATCAAATGAAACATTAATTAATGCTTTCCAAACCTAATTGAATGCATAACCCAATGCATTAATTACAAAAAAAATTTCACACGCTGGAGTGACGATATAATATCAAGATGAATATTTTATAATCTTAGCAAAAATGTAATTTTAATATTACGTAAATATATTAATTATTTTTTAATTCTTGGCATGCTTACCAAATCTATTAATTAAAGAAGAAAAAGACAGGCAAGATAAGTCTACTCCCCACAAAAAAAAAAAATTTTGAAAATAATAAAAATGGGTCTCCCCAGTTTAAGACAACTACTTATATATATATATATATATATATATATATGTGTGTGTATATATAACACACTCTTAAAGGCACAACACAAGCATAAGTGTTGTCTCAGTAATACAGAAGGAAAAAAATCGTTAAAAGCAAAAAAAAAAAAAAATAAGAGCAAAGATTCTCTGAACCGTCTGTTTTCAGACATGGAGGTCGTGTCGAACTTCGATTTCCAGTCTCCGCCGTTCTCTCACTCCACCGGCGAGATCCTCATTTCTCCGAAGGACGGAGGAAAAATTGCCGACGCGCTTCCCGGAGGCGCGTGCGTGGACTCGTCGAGCTCCGCCGCGGTGAGGGTGCAGAAGGTTTACCGTAGCTACCGCACGCGCCGGAGGTTGGCGGACTCTGTGGTCGTGGCGGAGGAGCTATGGTAAGTGAGGATTAGTTTGGGCGATTAAGAGAATTTTTTTGTTGGTGGGTTAATCACGAGATTAACGTGTTAATTAAGGTGGCAAGCTATGGATTATGCGAGATTAAATCACAGTACGATTTCCTTCTTCGATTACTCCAAACCTGAGACTGCGGCTTCGAGGTGGAGTCGCGTGAGCCACAATGCTTCCAAGGTTTGTTTTTTTTTTTTTTTAGTTTTTTTCTCTCTGGAAATAATAAAAATTGGGAGAAATATTGAAATATAGTTGAATTTTTTATAATTTGGGAAAAGATTTATTTGAATTCTATGACTCTTTCCTTTATTTTTTTTTTTGGAGAAATTTCTCTGCTTTTCCACATATTTTATATTTGATTTGGAATTGGATTTTGGACCGGTTAGATTTTGCATAAACAAACTGAAATAGTTTTTTCTTAAAATATATTAAAATCATTAATTTGAATCGTATGATTTTGTTTTCGGCTTCATTTTCCGTGATTTCGAAATTTCTCTGCTTTTCCACAATACTTGACACAGCCATATTAATTAATTAATTATTTTTTTTAGAAAGTTCTGTTTTTTTTTTCCGTGTAAAGGTGAAGACATTTTTTTTGTGATGGGTTTTGTAGAAAATACGGGGAGAAAGAAATAAAAATGATTAGAGATGATTTCTCTTACCATGAAAATTTGATACCAATAAAAAAAAATCCACTTGATCGTAAGATTTCTGCAACATATAAATTTTTTATATGTGGTTAGGTGGGAAAGGGGCTGTCCAAAGACGACAAAGCACAGAAATTAGCGTTTCAGCATTGGATTGAAGCTGTAATTACCAATTACCCTTTCTCTTAATCTCTCATTTTAACATTATTACAAAAAAATAATTGATCTTATTTGATATGGAAACACTCAAAAAATGTGATTATTTTGATTTTATACATAGATCGATCCACGGCACCGTTATGGGCATAACCTGCATTACTACTATGAAGAATGGTGCAAAACTGATGCTGGTCAGCCGTTTTTCCACTGGTATGTATGCTTATCGTTTTTTCGACTGTATCCATCGGTTATTTGGCCATGGATTCTTGATAAGATTCATCTGTGTTAGACCCTTCAACATTTTCTTTCTGTCCAAGAAAATCTTGGAATATGTTTCTTTGGAAAAAGATCTGAATGCGACCAATCTTGGTGTCACTGCCTTAAATATTGTGGTTGGAATGTCTCTGTTGTGAGATCTGTAATGTGTTTGATATGTTTCCACTGGTATGTCTCGTTTTTTCGTGTCAGTAAATTCCTTCGAATCGGTATCTTTTATCCGTTGATTTTAGGCTATGGATTCTTGATAAGCTTCATCTGTTAGATCCCGTTCTTGCTGTTCAAGAAAATCTTGGAATATGTCTCTTGGACTTTGTCAGAAAAAGGTCTGAATGTTTTTGGAAACAGAACTTCAACTGTGTTGGATCAGGTTCTCAGGTCACTGCCTTAAATATTGTAGTTGAAATGTCTCTGTTGTTGTGCAATCATCGGTGTTGTGGTGTTTTCCCTCGGTCACCGAGATATTAGAATGTGTATCCGGTTTAGTCTGGATTGATTCGGTTTAGCTTGGTTTGCATGGTATATGTACTTAAACCGGACGCATTCTAATAACCAATATAAATCCATGCGTATATATGGTTTCTTACAGGTTGGATGTAGGAGGAGGTAAAGACCTCGACCTTAAAGAATGTCCGAGGCCGAAGCTCAGGCAACAATGCATTAAGTATCTCAGTCCGGTAAGTGTTAAGTTTTTGTTAATCATCGTTATTTTTTTCTCTGTTCCATTTCGTAATCCTTTCGGGGGTTCTCTTACGCTTTGTCTTGTGGTGAAACCAGCAAGAGAGGGAACAATATGAGTATGTGATTCTTGACGGGAAGATTGTTCACAAATCGACGGGAAATTTCCTCGACACGATGCAAGGATCCGAAGGGACGAAGTGGATATTCGTTATGAGCACTTTCAAGAAACTCTACGCCGGTCGGGTAAGCAGCCTTGCCTGATTCCTAATCCTTTTACGTGTTTATAATCGCGTATGTGATCATATATGGTCAGGATTTTGCATAATATTCCAATCACTGATGTTGGTTACACCCGAAACTTAAAAAAGAAAAAATACGTTTTTTCCCAGTTATTTTTCGTGTTTTCCTAATCGATTGCTCGTCGATACACTTCAGAAGAAGAAGGGTAGGTTCCATCACTCTAGCTTCTTAGCAGGAGGAGCAACATTAGCCGCCGGGCGGCTTGTCGCCGAGAATGGAGTTCTCAAGGTAGTTAAAAACCGACTAATCATCTCGTTCTGTTTCTCCTTAACCAGCATCCGTTTCTGTGGTCACGTATAAGGTTGTCAGTCAAGTCATTGTTGCGTAATGTTACGTTCGGTATTGATACCGACATTGCCTCGCCCTTTTTCTTTTTCCAGACGATATCTGCATACAGCGGACATTACAGACCGTCGGATGACAGCCTCGACACCTTCCTGTCTTTCCTCCGTGAAAACAAAGTGAACCTCGACGAAGTTGAGGTAAAACTCGTTCTTGTTACCACCATTGAACTCGTACTATAGTATTGATATCGATATATCACTCGAGATTTACCTGATAGGTTTTAGAACCTGTCAAAGAGTTTTTCCCGTTCTTAGAGAGCCCGGGGCAATCCCGAACAAACCCTTTAGACAAGCATTGTATTAGATCTCCGAAACGATTAGTGGTATACGTATTTTCTCGCTAAAGCGAAGAAAACGAGCTCATTGTTTGTCTTTCGTGCCCATCGATCTTGCAGATACACAAGGCGAGTGAAGATTACGACAGCTCAGATTACGTCAAACCCAACGGAGAAGACCCCGAACCCGAAACCGAGACCAAACCATCACCAGACCAAACCGATCAAACTAATTCCGAACTGAATATTTACAGGAGAACCCTATCGGGGGGGTTACAAAGCCCGAAATCCGAGGTGCCGAGAAAGGCGATACTAGAGAGGATAAACTCGAAGAAACAGGTGAAATCGTATCAGTTGGGGCACCAGGTAACGCTGAAATGGACGACGGGAGCTGGTCCGAGGATCGGGTGCGCGGCGGATTATCCGGTCGAGCTAAGAACACAGGCGCTTGAGTTCGTGAACTTATCGCCGAGGAACCGTAGCTCTGTCTCTCCGATAGGGAAGTTCCAATTTCTGAATGTCTGAATCATTTACGTTTTCATCTTTTTTGTTTTTCGTTTGTCTTGGTCGATGAATGATCCGATCTTTCTCCTCCTTGGAGATGTGAACTTGTTTGTTTCTTATATTTACACAAAAAATAATCATCTTTGACAAATATAATTTTAACCAAATGTGTAAAATTTCGACAGCTCGGACTTTGACAGTATTGAATTTTCAAATATAATTTTAATATTTTAAATTATAACTTTCATGAAACAAACGATTTTCTAAATTCCATAATTAATTTTCAGAATCCTATATGATTAAATAAAAACAACACGGCCGTTTAAGAATTATCACATCAATTATGGCCTTGAACGGTAATGGTAATGGTTTTTATTTTGGGTTTTTTATTTTAGTTTTTGGTTTTTGGTTTTTAACTTTTGATTTTTTATTTTTGTAGTTTTAAAAGTTTTTATAAAACTTGTTTGGTATAAATAATATTTTAATTTTAATTTTGTATTTAAAAATCTATATATATTAATAAAGGAGTTTAAAGGATTGTGGTGAAGCCACCTAAGCATCCTAGGTGGAAGTTTT